GTTGTTGAAGTTGAAGTTGCTTCTCGTGCCTGAAATCCGTTCATTAGTATTTATTCTGCCTCCAACGAGGGGTTGTCCCGCCCATCAAAACATCCCAAAACTGTGCACCACACCACAGCAGTCTCTACCGGGCATTGTCGACTCTTTGACGGGGCAGCTAAGTGAACCGCCTGGAAGTATGCAGTGGTTTCCGCTTAGCAGCTCAGAAGTAGGCACTGGCCAGAGAATGACCCCAAACCGTGAGTTTCTCGCCGCACCTCACATCATCATTCAATCCCATCATCAACCCATTTCCATCTCCACCTGCGCTTTTCATTCCATTTATTATGTGTTGTTTTATGTGTTCTTTTTTTTTTGTGTTTGTGTTTGTGTTTTTTGTTGAACACAAAAATGTGCTGAAAGCGTGTGCAATAATTAGTCTGTAACTGTAACGAAATGTACTTCATGAACTTATGTATCTCTGTACTCATATTTTTACATAATTAAACGAAAACAAAAATCAATTTGTAAACCACACACACCACATGGGTGTACAGGGTGCAAGGGTGCAGGGTGCTCGTTTGCAGGTTGCTTCTACCAACGGGGGGGACAGGCAGATTCCTGTGCCATAAGTAGTCACGGAAGTCAATCACGAAAACCCATAAAAATAGCCAAAGGTGCTGTTTGGCGAAATGAAAATCGAAATAACTGGTGTGCTAAATGCCAAACATTACGAATATTTGCTGGCATTCGTAATCGAAAAACACGCAAAACAACTGAAACAAAACACGCTGCGAAAAATATACAATAGGAAATGCAACGATGAATAATCAATGGGGTGGATCACTTGACGATCCATCAGGCACTTTATGAGTGAATTTCATGGTAGATTATTTGCTGTATATGAGAGTGTTCTATGAAAGGGAAGCCTGATCGCCAAGGATTACTTTTGCTGAACTACTTGAAGGTTCTGATCTTCCAGTCAGATGTAGACACACCAACTGATCATCTACTGATCATCTGCTGATCACCTTTGACGGCCTATTCGGGTGTACTCGTACTTGCGCGCTAATGCAGATGTTTCTATGGAATCATCTGACCCCATCCCATGGTACATTTTCCCTTGTTAAAATATACAAAAATATACAATAGGAAATGCAACGATGAATAATCAATGGGGTGGATCACTTGACGATCCATCAGGCACTTTATGAGTGAATTGCATGGTAGATTATTTGCTGTATATGAGAGTGTTCTATGAAAGGAAAGCCTGATCGCCAAGGATTACTTTTGCTGAACTACTTGAAGGTTCTGATCTTCCAGTCAGATGTAGACATCTACTAATCATCTGCTGATCATCTGCTGATCGCCTTTGACGGCCTATTCGGGTGTACTCGTACTTGCGCGCTAATGCAGATGTTTCTATGGAATCATCTGACCCCATCCCATGGTACATTTTCCCTTGTTAAAATATACAAAAATATACAATAGGAAATGCAACGATGAATAATCAATGGGGTGGATCACTTGACGATCCATCAGGCACTTTATGAGTGAATTTCATGGTAGATTATTTGCTGTATATGAGAGTGTTCTATGAAAGGGAAGCCTGATCGCCAAGGATTACTTTTGCTGAACTACTTGAAGGTTCTGATCTTCCAGTCAGATGTAGACACACCAACTGATCATCTACTGATCATCTGCTGATCACCTTTGACGGCCTATTCGGGTGTACTCGTACTTGCGCGCTAATGCAGATGTTTCTATGGAATCATCTGACCCCATCCCATGGTACATTTTCCCTTGTTAAAATATACAAAAATATACAATAGGAAATGCAACGATGAATAATCAATGGGGTGGATCACTTGACGATCCATCAGGCACTTTATGAGTGAATTTCATGGTAGATTATTTGCTGTATATGAGAGTGTTCTATGAAAGGGAAGCCGGATCGCCAAGGATTACTTTTGCTGAACTCCTTGAAGGTTCTGATCATCTACTGATAATCTGCTGATCACCTACTTGAGCTACTTGAGCGCTAATGCAGATGTTTCTATGGAAACATCCGATCCCTATCCCATGGTAAATCTTCCCTGGTTAGTGTCTGTTCCGCTCTCTTTAACGTCCAGTGATCTAGTGATCTAATGTTTAGCAATTCCAGTTCCAGAAATAACTCCACAACGCTCAATGACTTTCACATAGTTGCCGCCAATTGGTGGCGTTTCTTCCTTGCCACATCAGGCAGCATTGCAGCATTGCGGCCTAAACGCTGTTTACGTAAAGATCCCCATCGGTGGCAGCAGGTATGGCCGCTAACAATTAGCATAATCAGCTGCCGCAATGGATGGTAAATTGTGCCAATTTCTATAATTTTGAAATGCGGCAGCGTCTCTTTCGACTTTCCACTTAAATAAAAAAAAGAAACCAGGAGAAGGAGGCCTAAAAAGTGGTGAGTGGAGAAGGGTATGGGAATGGGTATGGATATGCATAGAGTGAAGTGCCACAAAATACAATGCCACTTCCGCAATGTCTGGTTGAGAGACTTCTTTCCCACTTGCATTCCCCATTTGCATACTCTGCGGTCTTCCTGCCCATCGACTGATGAGCTGATGGACTCATGTCTGATCTGTGGCTTCCCGCACCGGACAGCTTCTTGGAGCTGTGCCCAAGCAGGGACCGAGCCCCGCCCTGGATGTAGGAAATCGAAAGTTTCTGGTTGTCATTGCTGTCACGAATGACCGGCCAGCGGCCGGGAACACTGCCAAGACCCCACCTCTGTCACTCACCTCTGGACTCAAACTGATTTAAATGATGAAACAAAACTTTCAATTGGTGCTGGCGTTGCTGCTTCCTTCTAATGAATCATGGCCATTTCCGCTCGACACCCAGATCCAGAAAAAACCCAAAAACCATAATGAAGAAAAACTCTCGTTATGATCTGCACGACCTGCCGCAACAATGGACCCATAAACCAACCGAACAACTGCAAGAAATTAATAAGTTTCAAGACCCGCCAGAGATGGTGCCAAAGTGCCGAGCCGGTGTCTCGTCTCCTCCACAAAACGTAACAATTTTCAAAACATTTCATCCAAAGCGTTGCAGCTGCCGCCACAGTGGCACGAATGCGGATAGAAAATCTTAACTTATTTTTAGGATATGTTTGAAGGTAATTGAAGTGGTTCCTTCCATAAGCGTCTAAATATTGATAATGGAAAGAGTTGGCATAAACTTTTCTAAGCGTTCTTTATACATTTTCAGACATGTCTTAATTTGTTTAAATTTTCCTAGAAATGTATGCGACAGATTCACCGTTCTATCATGGCAATTTGTAACTATCTAAAACTCTCTTTTCACATTTATGTTTGTGGCTTTCTGGCGCCACTGTTCGTTCGTGTGGCCGACGTCATCGTTTGCTGTCCGCTTATCGATGCCGCTTGCTGCTGTTGTCTGTCCGTCCGTCTGTGTGTCCGTCTGTCTGACACTTTTTGCTGTTTTTGCTGGCTCTGCTGTTTGCCATTGGATTTGTGGTGGCTGCAGCTTTTGGCCACATAACGGGGCATGGATCGCAATCGCATTCGCATTCGGTTGTTGGCCAGGTTGTTGATCTTCACACACACGCACGCACACACACACACACACACACATACACACACACATCGCTTTGTTTGGCTTTTGATTATTAGGGCCATTATCGTTGGCGTTAAGTGTGGCAAGTGTGTGTTCAGTGTTTGTTTGGTGGCCTGCCGCTGCCTCTACCACCAGAATATTAATCTATATAAATCATACGCCCTGTGGGGCGGGGGGCACGTAAAAGAAATGCATTTAATGGCAAATTTTAGATCGTGTGCCAAAAGTCTGAAAAAGCAATCAATAGGCAGCACCACCCTCACAGCTCGATCCTTCTGGCCGTATGCCTTGAGCCGCCGCGTAATCTGGAAATTGGCATCAACATTGTTGCCGCCTGCCTTTTGGGTTTGTTTCTCTTTTGTTTTTCTTTTTTCTTTTTTGGTTTGCAACTGCAACATTTGATCGAAAATCATCATAAATCTTGCAGCCAGTCTCTGCATCTCTCTCTCTCTCACTCCTTGTTAATTATTATGCACTGAATCAGTGACCATGAAGCCAAAACATTTGCCCATCCATCCATCCATCCATCCAGTCATCCCATGGAGCTGCTGCTGCTCATGCGGTTAGCATCGGTTGAGGCACCTCTCTTGTGGCAGACAGTCTCTCTCGGAAATGGCTTAAGGGGGGGTGGGGGGTGAAAACCAAGCCAACAAATATACCGAGAACCCATCCTACAGGGCACAGCCATGATATCCAGACTCTGGAAGTGGATTGGGTGACCATTGGCCACTCCCAGATCGATGTCCAATAAATGCCTGGTGCTCGCGAGGATTTTACAAGTCAATTACTGGTATTACGTACCATTTGGAGCCCCAAACATTTCATTGAACTGTTGTCGTCTCTTGGCTTGTCTGTCTATTTGGCTTATGGCTTAATTGGCCATCAAAGTCACAAAGTTGAGGCCTGAGAAACCAGTTCTATCGTTTTTTGCCGTTGTGCGGAGGAGCAGAGTAGTCCATGAGAGTCGCTCGCAGATTGGGGGATCGTCGATCGGGTATCGGGTGTCGGGGATGGGTCATTATGGGTGTACATATCACGCATACGCCAAGTGCGTTTTTCGTCGATTGCCTCGTTACAATTTCAATTGTCATCGAAAGTGAATCTCTGTTTCGCATTTTTCTCTCTCTCTCTCTCTCTTTTACTCTCTCTCGCTCTCACTCACTCTCACTCGCTGTGTCTGTGTGTGGTTTTTCGTTTGCTTTGGCCTGAACATTCGCATAAATTTTCCGCTGCAACGGTCCGCATCATTATAAAAGCCGCACTGCGCCAGCGTGCCGCAAACACTTGCACCACAAACCTAAACGCGTTCGCACCACATGTCCGCGAACAGAGCGCGTCAGCATCATCCACGGACTAGTCCTCCTCAACAGCAGTGCTCCACCAACGCCACAATGGGCCGTGCCACTCCACTTGTGCGCAGCCGCAGCCTGCGCTGCCTCTGTCTGCTGCTACTCGTAAGTAATCCTCAGGGCAACGACTGCGCTCGCTCTTCACGTTTTTTTTGTTCTTGTGCTGAAGAAATCCCAAAGGAAATCCTCCTTAAATACAGTGTGCAAAATAGTTCATTTGAGATGCAAAAGAAGTATGCAAAAGCTTAGCCTGAAGGATATTAATTGCTCAAATGGATAAACCCATAAATAAATCTAGAAATTGACAGCAATTGGCCTTTGTCTGATTTGATGAGTGCACAAGAAAATCGTATTCAAAACTATTTGAAACTCCATCTAGATTTCCATTTCTCTTTAGAATCTCCTGTAGAATAGATCGCATGTTTTAGCTGTGAATTTTTGGTGCATTTTCCATCATCGAAAAGTGCCCATCCATCAACAATTGCGTGCAGCAATCATTTCATGCCACAATGTGTGTGTGTGTGTGTGTGTGTGTGTGTGTGTGTCCGCCACAACATTGCTTTATCCTCACCATGCTCAACATCATTCAACATTCAAACGATCCAACGATCTGTGGGCCATTGAACCTGGGACAAGCGCACTAACGAGTGGCTCCCCATGCGCCAAACTCAATCATTTAGAAATTGCAATCACCCTGTTGTGTGTTGTGTGCTGTGTGTTGTGTTCCCTCCCACCCCTCGCTGATCGGCAAAAGCGAAAGTTAAATCGGTTAAATATACTCAATTTAATTAGATTAATTGCAAAATGTGTATGTTTTGGTTTACACAAATTGGAGCACTTTTCCGTTTGCATTTCGATGACAACTGGCCGTGAAATTGATCAGCCAAGCCCCCTCGGGCCTACCTCTACCCTCTTGTAGATGTCAACACTGTGTGATGCTGTGTCCGTGACCGCAGGAACCTCTGGCCGCAGTCACAGCCACAGCCACAGTCGCCGACGCTCTGGCGGAGTTGGCGCTCAGACGCTGGAGGAGCAATCAGACTCTGTGCCGGACCAGCTGGCACTCGCAGGACGCACCCACACCAGACGCGGCTCCAGCCATACGGTGCACCACAGCAGACCCAAAGAGGCGAACAACAAAGGTGAGTCGCAGCGATTTCAATTATGAAAACATCTGTAACATCTACCACATGTACCTTCTGTCCCCGATTACAGATTATGCCTACGGGCAGGTGGAACTGAATCTGGTGCGACCCGACTCTGAGGCTTTGTATCCCAGCAGTCTGAGCACGACCTCAGCTTCAGTCGGTAGTGCCATTCGGGTGGGTTCCGCTCCATCAGCAGCAACAGCAGGAGCTTCGATTAACCAACAGGACACAATCACGCTGGAGGATTCGCAGAGTGCCGCCGAGTATGTGGCAAACGCCATTAAGTTGGCCTACAAGCAGCCACAGATACAATCGCAAGCACAGGCAGCGCCCAAGGAGCCGCAGGCCACCTCCGAGCAGCCGCAACGCGATGCGGAACGGGAGCGACAACTCCTGGAGTTGCACATGCAGAAGGAGCTGCAGGCGCAGCAGCAGGCACAGCAAGCGCCCGCACCCGTGTACGAGAAGGAGCCGGTGACACGCAGCTATGATCTGTACGAACAGGCCGAACCCTCGACACAGTCCCAGTCCCAGTCGCAGTCCCAGTCGCAGTCCCAGTCCCAAGCTCTAGCCCAATCGGGGGAGATCGAGCGGCAGTATCGGACAAAGTACTACAATTATGTGCCGTATCCGGCGCCGCAGCTGTACCGCAATCTGGAGGCTGAGGCCGAGGAGAAGGTGCGCGTGTCCGCCTCCACGGAGATACCCAAGTCGGAGATCATGAAGCAGATCGAGAAATCGGTAATTAAGTACATGAAGGAGCTGGAGGCGGAGGGCAAGATCCTAAGCACACCACAGGAGCAGTCGATGCCGCCGCCGCTGATTAAAACCTACTACAAGCCGGCTTCTGCCTCGATGTCTGTGTCCTCGGCATCTCCATCCTCCGCGTCAATGGGCTCTGCCTCAGCGTTATCCTCGCTGTCCGATGAGAAGCGTTACAGCAGCAGCACGGTGAGACCAAAGTACACAGCAGCGCCGGGACAGGGTCGCCAGCATCAGTCCTCATCGACCTCATCGTCGTCGTCCTATCACCACCATCATCCCAGTGGCCATCATCATCAGCCGCAACAGCAGCAACAGCAGCACCAGGGCAAGGCTCATCAGCATCTCCACTCCCAGTCTCAGTCTCAGTCTCAGTCCCAATCCCAGTTGCACTCTCTATCCCACGCACAGGGAAAGCCCGCCCAAGTGCAGCACTTCCAGTCGGAGACGGAGACCGCCTATCAAGCGCCCGATCTGCCCGTGGACGAGCTCAGTCCGAATGTCGAGTTCATCTACAAGATCAAGACGCGTGCCCCGCTGCAGACGGCAACCGTGAAGACGGTCTCCAAGCCCTACACACTGCCCCTGAAGAACACGGAGCACTTTGATCATGGAGCTGCCCTCAAAAACATCGAAGAGTTTGATCTGTCCCATGTGGTCGCTGGATCAGAGCGGGAACGGGAGCGGGAACGGGAGCGGGAGCGGGAGCGTGATCGGGAGACGGGAGAAGAGCTGCTGCATCACCACCAGCAGCAGCAGCAGCACCAGCACCAGCACCAGCACACGCGGGCAACCAATGGGAAGCCACACAAGCTGTACTTCAACTCGGACATCTATCACGACATCAACTCGCTGCCTTTCAAGGGCGGCGACAAGGGACGACACGATCCGGAGGCGGAACGGGTCATCCAGGAGTACCGGCACAAGCTGAAGGCAGCCGCCGGGGATCTTCATCCGGACTACAAGGGCTACACGGGCTACTTTGCCGAGCCGGATCCAGAGTCGGAGCGCGAGGAGCGAGAGCAGGCGAAGCTGCAGCTGCAGCTGCAACTGCAATTGCAGTCCCAGGAGGATGGTTATCCCATAGTCAATCCCTATCCCTATCTGCTGAAGAAGGAGCCGCTGGGCGCCTCCAAGTACGAGGATGAGCACGAATCCTGGCCGGAGCAGCCGCTCCGCCTGGTCCACACGCACGGCCACCCACTCGGCCACAGCCAGAGCCACGCCCACGCCCACGCTCATGCCCATGTCCATGGCCATGTCAAGAGCCAGCACAAAGGGCAGCAAGTCCAAGGTCAGGGTCAGGGTCAGGGTGTTGGGATCAACAGCAGCCTGGAGTACGACAGCTACAGCCCCCGGTTCAATAATAATCCCGAGGGTTACGGCTACCAGCACACGTACAAGGGCTCCTCTGGCGGTGGAGGAGGAGGCGCATCAGTTCCATCCGGTGGTGGTGGCAAGCGTGGCAAGCGAGGCGGCAGCGGTGGCAACCTCCATTCGAATCCGGGCAAGAAGCAGCTGCGAACGGGCGGCGCCGCCAGTGCGGGTGGCGATCTGGAGGCCAGCCTCGCCCTGAGGCCCCCACCCAAGAAGTAATTCTACCCCCAAGCCCCCTTTCGCCCCAACCCTTCATAGCTGATTTTATGCAACATTTTGTTGATTGTTGAAAGTGTGCAGTTGTTTTTTTTTTTTGCTAGTTACTCTAAGTATTTTATGATTATTTATTTTATGGCCAGCTGCCCGGACCCGGAGCCCCGATAGCCGGGACTTGTCAGCATTCTAACGTAGAAAAGCGCAAGCCAATTACCCAATAATAAACGAACACTAAATGCGAGACTGGGAAGTGTTTGGCTCTCCGAACTCCATGGGAAGGAGGAGTGTCTGATGGAGCTTGTCATACGCCAAGCGGTGTCCAAAATAAAGACCTGAGGCCTCTGCCTGGACCGCGTGTTCGATGTCCGGTTCGTCCAGCAGCTTCTGGATGGTCAAGAGACAAGTTTGCTTAATGGACATGGTTGCATGGCACAGCCACGAGGAGAAGATAAGACGCTTGGATGGAAAATCGGTGCCACGAACTTGCACGAACTCTTCTGCGAAATGCATGCGCAATTTGTACAGACCACCCTGCCAGTCGGTACCTTCTCTGCCGGGAATTGCGCACTCCCATAAATAAAGATCTAATTTTCCGTCATCTTTCTTCATCGGGCGAGCCACGAACCCGAATGGTCTGTGCTAGCGGCAAGCCTTGCGCAGCTTTCTCAGTACATCACCAGCACCCATTTTTTGTATCAACTAATTCTTTGTTATAATTATTAATAAATAGAAAGCAAAAGGCACAAGATTAAACAGAAGAACTTAAAGAAATATATTTATTTATTTGATTGTGCGACATACCATTTGTGACTATTTGAATAATTTCTTTGTGAATTATCAGCCAAAACCCTTTTTGTATTTGTATCTGCAAGCAGAAAAACCACACAGATTTAAATTTAAATGATGTACATTCTTGTACTTGTAGCAGTGACAGCATACAGCAGGCTGGAGGAAAATTGGGTGGCTCTTCTATAGTCTCTGAGAACTAACCGACAAACAAGACGGACAGACGTATCAGACACTTTTACCCACAAATACAACATTCCCTATTGACTCTTCGAGTACCGGGTATAGTGAAGAGGCAGAACAGAAGCTCTAGATACCCAAAGATAGCTGAGAGAATTATATTTATTTGTTTATATTTATATTGGATTTTTGCTGCATAAATTGTATGACGGAATCCACAATTGTCTATTGATCCTACTCCGGCTACTTGTGCACCTTAGAAAACTCATTATACATTTCCTTATACATGTCCTCAAACATCTTCCCGTACTCCTTTGCCTGCTGCTCTGGTTCCTCTTTCTTCTTGACCATCTGCAGCGTCTCTTGATCGTTGGCCTGCTCTGGATTCTCTTTTATGTCCTGCAGGTACTTCTCCTGCAGCTCCTCTTGCTCCGTAAATTTATGCAGCTCCATAAGCTCCTTTAACTCCTGCAGTTCCTTCTGCAGCGCCTCTTGATCGTTGGCCTGCTCTGGTTCCTCGTTCTTTTTGACCGTCTGCACCTCCTCTTGATCGTTGTCCCACTCTATCAGGTCTCTCTCCAGCTCGTTCTCCAACTCGTACTCCAACTCCATTACGCCCCATTGGGGGGTAATCTGCTCAATTTGCTTCTTCTTAAAGCCAATCATCCAATCAAGCAGCGCCTGTGTCAGGTCCTGCAGAAAGGGGTTCGTGGTATGGGGAACCTTAAATTCCATGACGAATGATGCTGTGCAGACGATTCCTCTAAAATGTTTCTGAAACTCCCGATCCGCATCCATGGGAAACGCACCAGTCTCGAGCATTTCAAAGCTACAGCAGAGTCAGAGAGAGGGAGAAAGGGAGGGATACAAAGCCATTTCAAATGAGTCTCAAAGGGAATACATACGAGGGCAGACGCTCCTGAACGTAGCAAAGGCGGCGCTCACAGTGGTTTGAAAACTGTAACTCTGCCCCATTAACCGCCAGCTTGTTCTGAATCATAAGACTGTTCACTGACAGAGCTCCAGGCTTCTTGGTTCGGTAAACTTCCATATAGTAAATGGCCTCCTGCAGATCCTCCTCAATTACTTGGGCATACGCCACACCGAACATCACCTTCTGACGGAACATCATCGATGCCTCGCCCGGCCACATGTACTCCAGCGGATGGACACGCGAAAGTGCGCCCCGAACGGCCATGGCCGGTACATCGGTGAACATTTTTGGCAAGAATCTTAGATCTTTGCATGCGATATTCTCCTCACAGCCATAGTCCAAGTAGAAGACGGAAACGTGCGTTGCATTGTCCGGCGACTCAGAAAGAATGCGCACCCGCCGCCAGCCGACCCACTTTGAGGCGGCGGCACAAATGGATCCAGGTAGTAGGGTCCCACGAATTATTGGGGCCTGGTGCCAGGCATAGAACTCACTATGAATAGAGGTACATATATCTAATGTGGTGGTGCTGTCGAGGACTGGGAATACACAACGACAACTTACCTCATCTTGCTGTGCAGTCCCTCCAGATTGTATTTGTTGTTGCTTTCAACGAACTGGAACCAAAACTGAAGTGGGCTGAACACCTGTTAAAGGATGGTACATAAACATAAATATGCCACTCGGAAACAACACACACTTGCACATACATTGGTTATAAGTATTTTCAATTTTTCCTCGCGGCCGGCCACATTGCCCATGGGCAAGCGGCGCAGCTTCTGGTCCAGCATTACCTCATTTTTGGGCTCATCCATCATTGATATGAAGTCCGATTGCCTGCAAATAGCAATAAATGAATACATAAATAAACCAGGATCAGCGAAGCGATTTAAATTTGTGTATTTTACCTGGGATCTGGGATCTGGGACTTACAAAGCAAAAAGCAAAAGGCAAACAAAAAATGTGCGCTTTTTGAACGGCATTGACAGGGTTGCCACGTTGATGGACTTTTGGGCAAGGGGACTGGTGCACTTGCGAATTAAGTCACGAGTTAGTGATCGGCCACTTATGAACCCAAAAAACATTATGTTACAGCTACAGCACAGCTTCAGGAGCTAATATGGAGACATATGTGAGTATATTCAGGACCCAATCATTCATGTAAAAAAAAAAACAAAATATTAATAGTAAAAAAATTTAAAAAAATGCCCTTAAAACAGGTTTTAGCTGTTCATTTTGACTCCTTTAGTAAGGATATGTATCCATTTTTTCCAGCTTCTCTTAATACTTTAATTATTTAACTTTGAGTTTTATTTTCATTATTTTTGAGTTTTTTGTTTTTTACCTAAACATAATTATTAGCAATAATTATTATGCTGAAAAGTGAATACTTAAACATTGTGTTTAATTGTTAGAGTTTATTTGTTATATTTAATTCAATGGTTTTTGAACACAAAAAAAGATAAAAAATAATTATATCTATTTCATTTACTCTATTACTTAATAACTTACTAGACTTCGAAATAATTGTTCTACTCTGAAACTTCATGTCGAGCTAGATCGAAATCAATCGCGCAATGCCCTATCGCGTGAATACGCTTGTGCCAGTGCTACCCATGACCAGTGCTGCCATCAAAACGGCATTGAATCTGTGTTTTCCGTTTTTGTTTTGCTTTGTGTTTCGCGATGGTTGTACGTGTGTGCTGGCGCGTGGTTATGTGTTTGTGTGTGTTTGTGTGTGTGATATAATTACATATTTTTGCGTACAGTTATGAGATGACCGCCTACGCTCACAGCCGATTCCAGCTTCCAGTTTTGGGCAAAGTAAAAGTGCTGGGCCCCCCGCCACCAGCAGGCCAGTTCCGAATTCGTACTCAAAGTCAAATCGATGCCACATTTCCGTACCAAAATGCACTTTTAGATGAAAATAGCACAACTAGTTGGCAAGTCTGTGAGTAAACTGTGGTCGGTGGGCATGTATTACGTGATATTCTGGCATTTATCGGACCAAACAGCATTCATCAGCCCACAAATGTAATCTTCTTTCTCTTTCTCCATAGCGGTGTACTCGAATTTTGGCCAACGCTCACGCACAGACTTGACAAGAGATCATTTCAATTGGTGTCGGACCTAGACCTACTCGTGCTGATGCTATAAAACGTATTTGATGTGTCTCGGCTTTGCCATTGCTCGCTCGCCACTCGACCAGCCGCCCCAAACGACACAAAGATGAAACTCCGCGTGGTAGGTGCTGAATCCTTATTGCCTGTTGGCCTCTCCTACAGCTACGGCTCTTGTATTATTTCTTTGCAGTTTCTCCTGCTCAGCGCCGCCCTGGCAGCGACCACTGTACAAGCCGTCGTCCAGCCGGGCAGGAATCAGCAGCTGTTCAACCACAATCGGGATGGATACCGCTACAATGGACCCGCGCACAAGTATCTGCCCGCCGAGGGGCCACCCAGCACGGAGGCGGGCATCATCACTGGGCCCTGGCAATCGCATGGCTCGCATGGCAATCACATACCTCAATTCCTGGAGCAGCAGCAGGGCTACAATGGCCCCTACAATACCCAGCCCTACGGACAGGGACAGGGACAGGGACAGGAGCCGCATCGACAGGAAGAGCACTCCTGGCAGCAGGTGCAACACCAGCAGCAGAGGCCTGAGCCCTGGCAGTCCGCTCAGGGACTTGGACAGCAGGGGCAGCAGTACCACCAGCAGCATCAGTCCCAATCATATCATCAGCAGCACCACCAAGACGTGGAATACTCCACGGAGCATCAGGGCAGGCCAGCAGAGCATCATCAACAAGGCTTTCTCCTGCAGCAGGAGTCACATCAGCAGAGACCTGAATCCTGGCAAGCCGCTCATGGGCAAGGCTTTGCTCAGGAGCAGCACCAACAGCAGGAGCAGGAGCACGAGCAGCAGCAACAGCAACCGCTGGGCACCCACTGGCAGCCATCCCAAGTCGGGCACAACTCTGAGAGATTTCCCTTGGCTCTCGCGCATGCCAGCAGCCATAAAACTGTTGCTGCTCCTGCCCGCGATATCAAGCTTGTTCCAGCTTACACTCTTTCTAGTTTCTCGGATCAAGATCGCTTCATTGGATTGGATGCTCTCGACACTCGCCTACTGAGCCAATCCCTGCCAGATGCCTATCAGCGCGTGCCTTTCAACGCTGGACAGCCGCCCTCCAGGCAGCAGGGACTGGGCCAAGTGCAAGGACAGCGGCATGAGGAGCTCCTGGGTGGCTCTCCACAGCAGCAACAGCACCAGCAAAGTCAGGACTATGTCCAGATGCAATCGCACTCCTACCAGCTGCCTTCGTCGCACACCATGCAGCGGGAGTGGCCCCAGCAGCAGCAGCAGCATAACTCAGGCGATCGTCACTATTCGGAGAGTGCCTTTGCCTTGTCCTCCAACCCCTCACCACATTCCAGCAGCCACTCCTTGAACCCATCCTACTCCCAGCAGAACTACTTGAGCCATCCCAGCCGTGAGTTCCAGCCACCTTACTACCGATAGTCCTCATCACCGCATAGCCAGACGTCTCGCTGGGATCCCATCGCCTGCCATAAGATCCCTTGTCCGAGCATCGCTTTTCCCCGTACTCCAACTTGTGTCTTTCCTAGAGCTGAAAAGCATTTGGCTGGAGGAGGAATTTATTTATCCACTAACTGCCTTTTTTTTGTGTAAATTATTTGATCCAATAAATTATGCCTTGAGCAGAATCTGATGGCGTCACCAAATGTTGTGGGGGGGCTCTCGACCTTGGCGTCTGTTGGCCAAATGCGAGCATGGCTAATTTGATTATGCAAATTCCCACCGTCAATCCCGATTCTGGCCAACTAATTGCCAGAATTTTGTAATTTGCTCAAATTAATGCGCCAAGTGCCAGTGCCAGTGCCAGCTGCTGGAGCGAATTATGTGGCGATTAGAGATACAAATTGGAGATGATTCGGCTGGTTCTATGGGCGTTTCCGCTGTGGTGGTACGTGTACGTGTGGCAAAAGAGTGTGAAAAGAGGCGGAAAAGTGAAGGTAAAGCAAACAAAAGCAAGCAGACAGACGAGCAGACCACCAGACGCCCACTTAGTGGGCCCGACCCATGGCTGATTTGTGCAGCGTTGCAGCAGAAATCATAACAACAACGGCAGCAGCAGCATTTTGTGGCACGGCGTCAACTTTCTTTGCAGCTGCAGTAGGAAGCCGACAAATAATGAATTCACAACTCGATGAGACAAGGCTCTACCCTAACGAAGGGTACTCCCACTAGGAAAAGACAACGAATCAGTCAAAGGTCTTTGCTTCACAGTGTACCCTTTCTGCTCATAATTATCTTCAATCTGTTCAAACATCGAGTGACGAAAAGCAAAGTATTTGAAGCTTCGTGGCTGCCTTTTCTTTGCTGCTGCTGTTACCGCTGCTGCTGTTAATCTTTTTGGCACATTATTCGTTATGTTCATGCTTCGATTTCGATTTCGATTTCGATCAAGCCGAGTCATCAAAAGTTGAAATGCTGCTGTCGTTGGTGCTGCGAAAGCGATCGATGAGCGGCGACAGCGACGCTGGACACTGGTCACTGGACAGTGGACAGTGGACAGTGGAGTGCCATGCCGGATGACTTTCTTTTAGGTTTGCAACTGCAATGGTGGCACTTCTGCTTGTATTTTTCCATGGCATAGATCCTATCTGCCAAAGAAGCAGCAACAACCTGCAACGAGCAGTCACATGCCACAGTTGTGGGTAATCTGGGCATCCCCTCAAGTGGAAAATTTGGCATTCGAAGGGCAGGGCAAGGCGGTGGATCTCAGTTACATGGATTGTTGATCACCCAAAGCCACTGGGGATGTTGCAACATCATTTGCGCAAGCCCAAACAGCCGACAAATCATTTAACAAGAATTATGTCTCAGCAAAACGAGCGACGGAGAGAGCGGGAGAGGGGGGTGGAGCACCCCACTGAAAGCAGATGGAAAGGGAAAGGGATTGGGTATGGGAATTGAAACTGGATTCCAAGTTGCGCAACACAGAGGTAGAAGCAATGCCCCAAAGATATCACTTTCCAGCGTAGCCATGGCTATCGGATAACGGTCATTCCGCCCATATATATCCAGTGGGTGTCAGGGCCAGGGCCACCATTCGCCCGGGAGATCGATGGCCAGCATGTCATTGTCGTCCCTCAGCCTGGTGCTGCTCGGTTGCCTTCCCCTGTTGCAAGGGCAGCAGCTGGAGCAGCATACAGGATACCCCGCCTGGCTGTACTCCATGGCCTGGCGCCCGCTGGTGCCGCCCACTTCACAGCAATTTCAGCTCTCGCAGCTGAGTCCCGGCTACACGGGACCACAGACCTTTCCTGCCATGCGCCAGGAGCAGCAGCAGCAGCAGAATGGTTTGTTCATGCCACAGACGCAGCTACTGGGCCGCCCAGGACCGGCAGCTCAGGGTACATTTGGCCTGCCCTTTAGGCCCTCACCTTTTGCGGGCTACACAGATGACAATGACGAGCAACAGGCAGGACGAGGAGGAGGAGGAGGAGGAGAAAACTCTCTGCAGGAGCAGGCAAGAGGCGGGGAAAGAGCTGGAGCGTATGTCTACCTATCCCCAGGACGTTTTTACAGCCTATTTAGATCATAGATTCCCCCCTACCACCCAATCATTAATCACGAATAAAGAAGTAGAAGCCAGCCAAAGCAGCCACTGTTGGACAATCGATTCGAAAGGTCTTCCCACACAGAAATCCAATCGCTGGCCATGTAATCTCTGGCGATGACTCGCCCACAGTTGGAGAGATGGGAAGATGCCAGGGAGGGAGGGGGCATAGGGAGGTGCCTGGCCGACTTTTACCATGGGCGGATCTGGTCGGAACTCTGGTAATTTGTTGCCGCTTTCAAATGCTTCAATTACGACAAAGACGAAGACGATGACGAGGGCCTCAGACGCACAAGTCGCAAATCGGGGAAATTATATCTCGATCGACGTGGCGGCAGGTGTGACCTTGGTGGTGCGATTGCGCAACGCGCAACAGAAGTGGGAACCCACCTGTGTGGTGGGGCAGGGGCAAGGGCAGCGGGTGCCAGGCAATTACATCAACTAAAAGCGCCGCGCAGTGGCACACGACCCGCCACACAATGAGACGCAAGAAACGGCAAAACAAAAATACAAAAAAAGAGCCGCCAAAGCGGCAGAGAAGCTACCAGAAGAATCGCACAAAAAAAACCATAGAAGATATATCATAGTCAGCGAGAGGTCGAGGCATAGACTACACTTTGAATATATGTTTATATTATGGGTCTATTTCTTGCACTTTTATTGGCACATTAATCCCAAGAAATTCTTTCTTAGTAATATAAGATAAGTTGAAGGTTTTGCTGATCGCCATTTTAGGAGATGTCAAAATTGACACTGAAATACTTAGGGAAACCAAACTGCTGCTGATATGTTGGTTCCGTTTTCGAAAGTACCTTCACTCAGCATTAGGGTATGGATCTGTGCAATGCATATGTGTGCATGGTAGACGAGGTCTGAGGGCTATGTATAGGAATGCTCTGGGGGTCTAGGTATACATGCGCCGGCCAAAGAAGTTATTGAGCTTCACTTGTTCTGTTACAATGGAGAGTGCCATATGAAAGATTATTTGCGGAGTTGAAGATGGTATATTGTAGTGTCTCATGGGAACTATTATAGAATCCATACTCGTATGCGGATCAATGTACTCTGATGTACAATGATGGATTGATTATCTGATATTTGGGATAATCTTTTTATATTTTTTACATCGTTAACTTCCTTCCGATAGAGACGTAATAACAGACGGATCCCGCTCCGTGCCGCAGACTGTACATTGTATTGCGAAATCGAAAACAAATCTCTTTTCAAATTTTCGCAGCTGAAATAAGACCAGCAATTACAACCGGTGAGAAGAGTGGAGTGCGGAAAGAGAAGATTGGATTATGCAGAGAGAAGCGTGGATTGTGGAGATAAGAGAGTGGCGTTTGCGGCACAGGTAGTACAAGTAACTGTAAATTAAATGCAATTTACGCATACACCGAGTTGCCTTGCCGGCAAAGGGTTGACAGCTGTGGAAGAGGGAGGAGGCAAAAGAGCCGCTCACAGGGAACTTGGGAAAACACACACGTTGCCCGTGCATGGCGGGTGTGCAGTGTGGGTAGAGGGGAGTGCCAAAGGGCAACCCGTGACATGTGATATTAAAAAGTGTCACTTGAACTTGAGTGGCGCTGTCTGGTCTCTGCCAATCCGCACAGTGGGACCAATGACTGATAGTATTACTTAAAACTAGCACTTCATTGCAATACAGCAAGCTCTCATTATGACTGCTGCTCAAATCAAATTCATTGCCTGTCCCGGCCCACTGTGCGTGCGTCGAGAGTGAGAGTGAATGTGTCCCACCGCTCCGCCCTCCCTCTGACAGCAGCTGACACAAAGCAGAGCTGGCGCAGAAGAAACCGAAGCCGAATTCAAAAACGAAACCGAAAACATTCGTTTGCTTCTGCGTATGCAAAGCACCGGCAGGCAGTGGCAGAAAGTGCGAATGAGAGGAGAGAAGAAGAAACTGTTTTCGCATCGCTGCGCGTCTGCGCAGTTGGCGTCGCAGTTGGCGCTGAGCCGCTGTCCAAGTTGGAGTCGTGGCTGTGGCTGTGGCTGTGACTGTTGCTGCGACTGAGGCTTTGTCGGCGGCCAAGGCAGAGCGCGTATAAAAGGGTTGGCCGTCGCAGAGGTCGTCAACATTGCGCTGGCTACTGCGGCGCGCGCCACTTGTGGAATACGCGGGAAAAAGACAGAGAGTTCCAAGATCCAAGGATAACAGTTAGACTTTTTTTTACTGTTTGTTTTTTTTTGCTGTTGTTTGAATTGTGCCCGTGTAAAAATGCAGTTTAGAAGCATCCCGTTAGCTGCGGCTTTACTCAGCTGCTGCTGCTGCGCTCTGCTCGTCAATGCCGCAGACCCCACCGATGCAGTCGCTAAGCAGTCCACCGCACAATCCGTCACGCCCCTGAAATTGAAGCGGGACGCCGGCCTGAGCTTTGGAAGCGGCCTCTACCACGGCCCGTCGCACAAGTACCTGCCTCCCGGACCCTCACACTATTCATCGTACGCACTGCACGGAAATGGACTGTCCTCCAGCAGCGGCTACGACTTTGGGCACGCAGATACCACGCTGGAGAGCTACGGGGGACACCACTATGGAGGACACTCCTCCCACTCCAGGCCCCACTACATCAGCGGCAGCAGCAGCAGCAGCAGCAGCGGTGGCATCGGCGGTGGACACCACCATCAGGGTCCCAAGGTGGAGACGTACATTGTGCAGACAAGTGGTGGATCCAGCTCAGGGCATGGCCACAGTTACCACGGACACGGTTCAAGTCACGGACCCATTCATGGACATGGACATGGTCAAGGCTACGGATACAGTCATGGATACGGCCAGGGACAGGGACACGGATCTGGATCTAGCTCTGGCTCTGGCCTCGGCTACAAGTACTCCTCACATGGATCCACAGGTGGAGGCGGCGGAGGAAGCTACCTGAATCTCCTAGGAGGCCACAAGCCCAGCAGCACCTACCTGGTGGCTGGTCCAGAGTACTCGCACAGCATTCATCACGGAGGATCAGCAGGAGCTGGAGCGCGTCCCAGCTATGCCATCTCCTCCCCGCACTCCTCGGCTGGCCACGGTTTCAGTCACGGATTCGGCCATGGGCTGAGTCACGGACCCAACCACGGGTATGCCCTCGAGCACGGCTCCAGTCACGGACACGCAATAGAGCACGCCTTGGAGCAAGGACTGAGCCACGCCCTGAGTCTTGGCCATGGAGGAGCACAGCTGGGAGGCTATGCCCATCTCGCCCCAGCATCCCATCCCTCACTGGAGCATCATCTGGGCGGAGAGGAGACATCCGGCTACAGCTACGAGGCGCCCAGCATTGGCTTCGGCAAATCCCAGCCACTGAGCAGCTACGGAGTTCCGCTGCTGCCCGGCTATGAGCATCAGCAGCATCCACAGCATCCGCTGCCCGATCAAGTGCAGGTCCAGGTGCTGGAGGAGCAGGAGCACAAGGCAGAGCAGGCTGCGGAGGAGCACCAGACGCCCGTTTATGCATTGGGACACAAGGGTCTGGGCCACTTTAGCTACACGGCCAGCAAGCCCCAGGCCCTGCACACCGATGTCCTCTCTAGCAGCGGTGGCCACCATCATTCCAATGATATTTCCCTGAACGAACTTTCCAAGGCGCCCTTCAAGCCCAGCGCCTTCCTGGGGGCCAAGCACGAGCCCAGCTCCGGCCCCGGCTCCGGCCCTGGCTCTGGCTCTGGCTATGACTATGCCACGCCCAGCAATCAATATCTGCAGCCCCCGACATCGTCGGGATACGACTATCAGGCACAACCGCAACAGGTGCTCTACGGGGCGCCGGGCCACTCAGGTGACTCGGCCACGCCCATTTTCGAGCCAGAGGCCACCTACCTGCCGCCCGTGCCCACCCACGGATATCATTAAATTATTTAACTATTTTTAAGAGCTTAAAGCGCAACAATCTATTTTTATTTTTTTTATATCAAAATAATAAAAAAACGAAATGGAAAACGTAAATGCTGCCACGCCTTCCACTCTCTCTCTCTCTCTCTCTCTCTCGCTTGGATTTTGGATGTTAAGTGCCCTTTCTGGAGGGCAACTGGAAAGCTGGACAGATTCCAGATGCTTAAAATGCAGGGCACATCCAATGGTTCACGATTTCTCGTGGCTCGATTTCTGATTACGGATTTCGCTTGCTGGAAATTTTGTGAATTGTGATTTGAATTGATGCGAGAAACTATATCAAAGAAACAAAATATAGCAATAAAAAACTATGGAGAGAAAGGTGTAGTGGTGTTTGGTGGGAGTGGTGTGCAGGGCCAGAGCTCTCTGGAACGTCACTGGCATGGCCAATTAGCCTGGGAAGGCAATTGATTGCGGAACTGCTTCTGCTGCTGGTGCATTTAACAGTCAGCAGAAGAGAAATGAAGCGGTTAACATCTCTGTGGATACCTATAAAATGTTTCACATTGCTCGTAGGATTCGCCCATACAATCCACAAAGATCAAACGTTAATCGGCACAAGACGATCAACAGAAACGATATCCTTTCAGCAGATTCAGAAAGCAATAATTAGGAGGAAAGTTGTCTATGAAAGTTGTAGCTCCAAAGACTGGCCTACTCTATATTCCAGATGCTATATCCGCACCCCACTCGTAGTCTCTGAATTTGAATTCATTAATCAGTATGCCAGAGCGTGCTCTCAGAGAACATTCATGGGTCCAAAGACTAGCCAACAGCAAATCTTTCCCCAGCTATTTCTTATTCGACTGAAATGCCCGTTCCGCTGGTTGTCTCTGTTCATGATGGATGGTCAAAACGCACTTAATCATCCTCTCTCTCTTGGCACCAATCTCAATCTCTGTTGCATAATACGGCCAACCAGTTGGGGCATTTGATCCTTATGGCATTATCGCTGACCCAGTTCAGAGTCGGACTCGGAGTTGGATTTCGAAAAGTGAAAGGATGACAGCTGGAATGATGGGCAGTAGGCCCCCACTGCGCTGCTCTTGAGATGAACTTGAGGCCATGATTCTGTGTGTCTGGCTTATTCTGCTCTTGGCATGGGATGGGCGGGGGGGTTCTCCCACGTTCATTAGCATAATTGAGCCGCCACATCCGGACAGATCCGGAAGCGGCCAGAATTCGCTCGCCGAGACGTGACTAAGACTGTAACTGTGACTCAAAACCAAATGCTCAAGATCTCATAGAGATTTCATCAGGGTCAAAGCTGCGTGAAGTTACGCAACTCTGAACTCTAGCCCTCTGCCCCCTCTTTCGCTCTTCGTATCTCCCTTTTGTAATTCTCTATTTTCTTTCATTGGAATCTTTATTTTTTTCTGTGTCGACAAGTTCATTCAGGCACAAAACAAAAGAAAGGTAAAAGAGCAGGGCAGGGAGATATCTGCCACAATAAATTAGATAAGTTTTTGAAGGCCCCCTCCCTACCGCAGCAGGGGGTCGCAGTGACAGGTGCATAGAGGGATGGAGCGTGCTTTATGGCTCTGCTCATTAGCTATCGATAACTGATCGATAGCTCCATCGATCAATGTGGATTGCCTGCTGATTGCTGCTGGCCAAATTATGTGCGAAATTTGGACAAAAGTTCACCAGAGTTGAACCGCAAGAGGTAGGGGGTCTCATAAATTAGCTGGAAAATAAAGTAGATAGGTTTGCCGACGGTTTTATATTATAATAGAACTTGTAATACCCTTGAATGGAATTTAAAGTCATGTATTAGAGTACATTAAAAACCGTCTTAAATGGTTGAATTCATCAGAATTCTGGCATTACAAGACCCTTTTAGAAGTCTTACCAAACTCAAGAGTCTGTGAATAAAATTAAACAGAATTTATGTGACAAGAAAATTGTGTAACTTTATAATACTTACACCATCATGATACGACAGACACGAATGCATTATCATAATACCCTCGGAAAAAGTGTATTAAAAGGTGTTAAATATTACCATTTCATCGTTATTGTTGTACCACCGTGCTGTGGATTTTATTATCGCTTTTGTTATTTATGACTTTTACGCCTGATTTTTGTTAATTTTTACAGACACTCCACTCGACACACACACGAAAGGGGAGGGGTTCGGGATCCGGCACAAATAAAATGAAATACCTGTGAGGTTGTGGCAGGTTGAGGTTTCTTCGGTAACGTTATTAAAGTGCAGCAGCAGCAGTGGACGACAACGAACATTCACTTTTCATTTCATGTCGTTCATGTTGTTATTTCGAATGTGGTTGTTGTTGAATCATTTCTTTCTTTTTCTTTTTCTCTTTCTCAGCCATTTCTTCTGCTGGGCAAGTACCACAGCGGAGGCTAGAGATAACCAGTGGAGTCGGTCAAAAATAAAGATTATCCTCCATTTACTCCAGACAGAACATTGAACTTTCCATCAGGGAAATCATCTACAATACTTTATGATTTCCAAAATAAAATCGTTTAACAATTCAATCAAAAACGTGTGTACATTAAATATTGATTTATTGATTTTATTACTAACTTTTATCCGTAATGAGCTCGAATATTATCTTTTGCATTGTGTCAAAAGCGTTTAAAACCCTAAGTATGCTACAGATTTATATTAAGATTTATTTATGTATTATCTTGTATTAAAATAGCAGAATACTTTCGGTCGCGAGAAGTAAGCCTTATCTACTTTTCGTAAATTAATATGTAAATTAAAGTGTATAATAATTTCGCGCTCTCCCAATAAACTACTCTGAATCAGATATCCGAATAAGCGTAAGAATGGATCATTACTATAGCCAGAATGACGGAACCTTCACCCCGAACTGAAGCTGCATATGAAGGAGCAATAAAACTTTTCAACAAAATGATTCTAGACAATGACATTGATGCCATTGAGAATACTCGAGTGTCTAGAAAATGCGCATGCAAAAGCAGAATAGGGGGAGATAACTAAAAGGAATAGGGGAAATGTCTTGAGTGACTTCTCTTCTTTCTTCCCGCTTTACACTCCGTAACGGCTCTTGGCTGGCGTGCCCATGAGATTCTCTCTTTCTTTTCTTTCTTAGCTGCCCCTGCTCACTTGGGCAATTTTGATTTTAATTTTAAAAGCGGATAAAAGTCGGTTAAAATAGAAGTTTATGCATAACGCCGATTATTTTTTCGTTATGCCACTTCTGGTACGGAGCTCTTCTAGTTCGCTCTCTTTCCACTCAGCCAAAAAAAAACTTGCTAACTGGCTAAAGTTAACCCTTTGTTATGCTTGAGCTTCCCCTTTTGCTGATCATACTTACACTTTTTAAAGAACACAAAAGATACATTTTCTCTCCACTCGCGACTGTGTGTTTGGCGGCGCACTTGCAAAAAAATACTTTGCCTCTGCTGAGATCAAACGTCGTAAAGGGAAGAGACCGAAGCTACGCCACCAAACAAGCGGGAACCCTCAGGAAATTCCTCCCTAACAATTAAGGCTGTTAAACAACCCCAATCCTGGAGCCCAGATCGCACCGCCTCTTGACCACTGGATGACCCCACCATGACCACTAGATGGCGTGGCCAAGCTTTCCTGCTGATCCGAGCGCTACAACATAAATATGTATGTACATACATACATATGTATGTTTGGGGGCCTATCTCCCCCTGTTTAAACTGTTTACATATGCATCCTCTTCGACGCACAAAGCTACCATCCCCCTCCTACACACTAATTTCCGAAGCGGCTTTTGCGCTGACGCTGTAGAAAAGTGAACGCACCCACACAGCAGGCAAAACTTAACATGGTATTGGTGACAATCACTGTTAGACAATTGAACTGCGCTGCCGCTCGGCAGTAGAACATTTTCCTTTGCACGGCGCATAGGCCGCTGCCGGGTTTTGCACTGCGTTGCTGTTTGATGCAACTTGATCATCAGGTGGGAGAGTAAATAAACGGCTTGAGCATATGATAGGGTCCGATCTGGTATCAGTGATAACTCAAGCGCCAGTAGAATCAGAACAGCTAAGGAACAAACATATTTTCTGATCAGAAAAGTTTGTCAAGACTCTCTCCCTTTATTCATGTGCCAAATTGAGACTTATTTTATTTTGTTGCTAGTTTAAGCACTTGCTAAGCCGAAATATTATTTGAATAAGCAAGGAAAATCGTGAGACTTCGTCATGGAGGTAGAGGCTGATCCCATGGACTTGGATTGCATGGACATGGTGTTGTCCACTGACGTGGACTTGAATGACATTATGCTTTATGAAATGGAGGTAACGAGATTTGAAGCAGAATTTAATAACATTATCGTCCATGATGTGGTGGAAAATACGTCTTTGAGCTCGGACTTGGAGGAGGCCTTAAAGCAAACTCAAAATATCTCGTCGTTGGATGATCTCAATGGTTTGGACTTGGAGGAGGCCTTAAAGCTAATTCCGAATATCTCGCCGTTGGATGATCAGAATGGTTTGCACTTGGAGGCGGCCTTAAAGCTTATTGCGAATCTCTTGCCGTTGGATGATCTCAATGGTTTGGACTTGGAGGAGGCTTTAAAGCATATTCCGAATATATCGCCGTTGGATGATCAGAATGTCTTAGACTTGGAGGAGGCCTTAAGGCAAATTGCGAATATCTCGCCCTTGGATTATCAGAATGGCTTAGACTTGGAGGAGGCCTTAAAGCAAACTCCGAATATCTCGTCGTTGGATGATCAGCAAGGTTTGCACATTTTTCAGTTCATTAAATGCCCACTTTGCGATTGTTTACAATTTTAGACAATTACATTATGGATTTTGATTTGGAGAAATTTACCTCTGGCTCAGGCTTGGAGGAGGAAACTACCAGCGTGGACATCAAGAACAATTCGAATGGCTCGCTCTTGGAGAAGGAAACAACCAGCGTGGACTTGAAGCAAAAATCGAAGAGCATCGACTTTGAGGAGACAACCACCAGCTCGGACTTCAAGAAAGTGTCGCAAATCTCGCCCTTGGAGGGGGAAACTACCAGCGCCGATTTGAAGCATAAATCAAAAAGCTCGCCTTTGGAGGGGAACACCGCGAGTGCGGACGGGAAGAAATCATCGAATATCATCGCGCTCTTGGGGGATGAGGAAGGTTCGGCATGTTGATTTAATTTATTATTATTATCATATTATTTATTTCCCAATCTATAATATTGTTTACCATTTCAGAGAAGGAAGAGCTGTGTAAACATAACATGAGCCCAGCGGCTTGTATCAAAGTGAATGTGAAATTCGAGGTTTTCCACATGACCCACGATGAAAAATTGGAGTCCATTCGCGAGGGCTATGCCATGCTGATACTTATTTCGAACCTGACGCCCCAGTGGATAAAAGACGAAATCGAGAACACCGCCTCGGAGGCAGAGACTGAGATTCTGTACTGCAATGCTCCATATATTGAGTACTGTGACCAATACGGCGAGCTATTTCGTAGAACCACTATGATTATAACACTGCCAGAAATTGCGGAAGAGCTCAACGCATTGGCCCATCAATTGGTGGCTGGTGTGCCTTTCACGCTTTATGGTACTTGGTTCTAGGCCACACACCCAAAAACAATTACAAACAAAAACTGCTACTGCTAAAACACTACTACCCCGGACCCCATATGTGATGCCACAGGCTGCTGTTATCTCGTTTTGCTGTTCATTCAAACATCTCACATAATCAGACACACTGGCGCTGCTGGCAATCTTATAAACATTAATAAATAATCAAAAGCGTGGGACCCAATCCATACCATTCAGTTATTCAATCATGGTTGGCAAGCACACAATCGATGATTTAATATAATTTACGTGAGTGCTTCGTACAGTGAAGAATGTTTTTCTTTCTGGAACTGCATCGGTGGATGGGTTCATTTACTCCATCATGAACCATCCCTCCCTGGAGCAAGGCTTGATGCTGGAATCACTTCTGTAGGGATACTAAATTGCCTTTTCTAATCCAAGTCCAAACAATATATATATTACAATTTGGGTAAGAGAAATGCTTTCTAATCGAATTGACAAAAAAGTGCCAAGAGTATGGGACTCAGCGATGCAACAAGTGGCAAATTGAAGAAGCTTTCATACCCATTTGGAATGTGATTTCATTCAGTAAGAACTGGCAAGTCCTTGTATTTGAGCATTAGATTTACATATTTCGATAATAATACTACGAGTGTTACATGCATTGCGTATTATTCTAGTTACGTACTTTTCACTTTTTCTCTTAAAATTCATTTAAAATGTTCTTAAATTAAAGCTCGATCTTAAGAGTCTACTTGACTAACGTTAATTAAACAAAACGAATGACCAGAAAGGGTACGTTATATGGATGGTAGCCGTGTGAATACTCTTATATCTCGGATATGTCGACTATGCAGGATGCAAGCGTACGATTAATTGCAATTCAATTGAACTGAACTGCTCCACCAATCTCCTTGCGGGTGAACTGGTTGAGCATGTCGCTAAAGTGGGGCTTTTGCCGCTGGATCACCTCGTTGGGGTGGTTCTTGAACTGAATGTGCTGCAGCAGATGCGCTTTTCTCGAGAAGCCTGTGCCGCACACAGTGCAGATGTAGGGCTTGCGCGTGCTGTGGACAAAGAGGTGAGAGTTTCGGTTTTCTAGCCGGCAGAACTGTTTGCCACATATGTGACAGCTGTAGGCTTTGTTACAGCCATGGACCAGCATGTGCTTCTTGAGGTAGGTTTGGTGCGAGAAGCTGGCGCCGCACTGCTCGCAGGCTAGATCGAACAGCTTCAGGTGCACCGTCTTGAGGTGCTGCTGGAGCAGACGTCGGCGGGTGAATCGGCGATCGGGGCACTTGGGGCACTGGTGCAGGGCCTCCTTGAGGTGCTTCGTTCGAATATGGACACTAAGGTTGCTGTTCTGAGCGAAACGGGCCCCGCAATCGGAGCACTTGTACGGCCGGTCGCCCGTGTGGGTGCGCATATGCTCGTCGAGCCAGCGGCGGCGTTTGAACTCCTTGCCACACTCATTGCACGTGAAGATGGACGCTGGCGGTCGGTTGTCCCTGCGCGTTCGGGGATGCATGCGCCGGTGGGCGATGAGCTTCTCGTGGCTGACGAAGCGCAGGGGGCAGCGTGTGCAGGCCCAGGGCACGCGAAACGCTGCATGGCATGGACCTGGTCTACACTCTCCGGGCTCTAATTCCTCCTCTTCCGCCTCCTGCTGTATTATCCAGTCTCCAGGGTCATCTTCTGCTTCGTCCTGATCCACCATCATTGCTGCCAGCTCCTCTTCGGGTTCTTCTACTATTATCGAGTTGACCCACTCTTCGTCGGACTCTTCGGACTCCTCGCACTCTTCGATAAGTGAATCCCAGTCGATGTCGGCCTCCTCCAGCGTTTGAATCGCCATTTCTTTTTTCCGGGGCTCCAACAAGTAAAAATTTAGTTTTTTTTCGCGTCGCCATAAGCGTTGCCACATGCGATTTGAGCCAATGCACTAACGCCTCGGGAGGAAGGGCTGCCAGATGGCGCGAACAGACTGAAACGCACTAGCGCTTTTCTCAAAAGTGCGCAAAAACGACAGAAAGCGTTACTTTGCTTCTATTTAAATGAGTTCTTGTGCCCAAAAGACGTTATCTGTTTTGTATTTTAATCAATTGTTATGCAATTTATTCATACGCTATGTAAATATAATTTGTTCACAACTGTTATATAATTACTTTCATTTGTTTGTATTTTTATCTTTTTTTTATTTTAAAGCGGCTGCTTTCAACAATTGTTTGGTTTTGTTTTTTTCGATTCGTATTCAATAATTCAATCAATCAATCATTTACTGTATAATTCACACATTTTGGTTTCTTCTTAGATGATTCGAGAGCGTGTGGCTTGTATTTATTCATATGTGTGAGCGTGTGTTTGTGTATAATTGTAATTCCGTTAACTACAACTACAGAGACGCCTCTAAAACACACACACGATGCACGATCTACATATCCATTCGTGTCTTCTGTATCGTATCATCGAGGTCTTTTTCCTTTTTTAGCTTTTAGAAATGTTAACAAATTTACAGACTTATATTTGGATTACCGTAATCATGTATATATTATTTATATATGTATAGATGCATTATATAATATGCACTGAAATGTTTCAACAGGATCTGTTGGTGTGCTCTTTGCGTCACAAATCGCTCTGTATAGTGGTGGAGGGGGAGGAATGATTGACGGATGGGGCGTGATAATGACAATTCAACTTTTCCTTTTCTGTGTTGTGTGTGTGTGTGCGTGTGTGTGTAAAAACCGATTTCTCTAAAATTTGTCTTACTTTCTCTTTTACTTTATATACGATTTTGAGGCTATGCTATCCTTATCCTCCACATCATTGCATTATCGTCTATTTAGATTCTCCCCTCCGTCCATTAAAGTAAGAAAAAAAGTGCACTAGTTTCCCGTTTTGGTATGGCTTTAACATCGTCAAAGCACCACCCTCCTCCTTCTTTTGTTTGTTTACACACTGCTTATACCATTATAATATTTCCATACCGCCTGTATATACCATCTGTGTCTATAATTGCATTTTATTTAGTTTATATTTGAGAATTAATCCCACTTTGTTGTGTGTTGCTTGTGTGTAGAATGTAGGTTTTTTAAATGCTACAAGTAAATGCCTGCCTGCTTGCAAATTATTTGGTATGTCCTTCCACTGTTCCTCCTTTTAAAAACTACTTTGGCCTTATCCGCTAGGAGTTTCTACACTACTCGTACACTACACTACACTACACTACACTACATACTGTTTGAAACATTTTGCAATGGAAAAATGAGCATCGAAAAATGCACACTACACGCACACACACACACACACACACACACGCATGGTTCGTATTAGGGTGGATCTGCAGAGCGAGAGAGAGAGATAGCGCTTAGGTGGTTTACATCGGAGAGGAAAGATATAACCGTTGGTTTGCTGGCTGGCTGGCTGACTGGAGATATAAGGAGATAGTAAGAGTGGATAACAGTTAAGCGCTCGCTCTCTCTGGCTTACATATGCATGTGTGTGGCTGTGTGCACTTTTTCCCCATCTTCACTTTGGCTCACCAATTCACTATATTTGTATGAATTTGTGTGTGTGTTTGTATATGTATTTGTGCGAGTGTGTTTATGCGTTTGTGTTTAAGTTTTGGAATTGCAATTTCTGTAAATTGTGTATATATTTTTGTTTTAATTATTCCATACATACAATACATATATTTTTCGTATATAAAAAAAGAGCATTTTGTTTTGTTTAGTTTAATGCCTAACAGGGATATTCCATTTCCATTTAATTAACGTTCTCTCTCTCTTTCCTATTCGTTTCATTTCATTCGATTCGTTCGTGCTCCTTCTCCCTATCCTTCTTCTCTTTGCGGCTTAAATGCAGTTATTGACCTGAACAATTGGTTTGTTTATCTTTTGTGTTGTGGTTTTTGTTGATTGATTAATTAGTTAATGCTTTCTCTCTCTATATCTTTATATATTACTATATGTGTGTGTGTGTATATACGTATAAATGTATCTGCATGTGAGTATTTCTCTGTGTATGAATTTATGTATATATTTCTATTCGTTTTTTTTTTATTATTTCATTTTGGAAATCTTGTTAAAATGGTTTAACATTTGCATCTTCTCTTGCTATTTCTGTCGTATTCGTTATGCTCGGTGTTTATTTATCAGAAGTAATGTAACTGTTATTGTTTTTGTTTTTCATTTTTTAAAATTTAAAACGTTTCCTATGTTTTTCCTTTGAGTTTTAATCAAGTGTTGAAATATTACTTTTATAATTTTATTTCGTGAAATGTTTTCGGTTTTTGACTTTCCTCATTTAAGGTATTTGTTTTGTTTTTCGCTTTTCCTTTCTTTTGGTGTTCGTTTGTTTTTGTTTCTGCATTTGGTTTTATGTTGTTTTTTGTTTTTGATTCTTTAGTTTGCTTTAGATTTCTGACGTCACAAAAATTTCTACGTACGTGTCGCTGTTGGTGTTGTTGTTGTTGGTGGTGGTGGTTCTCGCAACGGATTCTCAAATAATAAAATTACATAAAGTCCAAAAAACAAACCAAAAGTTAAAAGTTCTGTCGTCGCTAGGGAAGAAAGAGTCGGAAGGGAACAAGCGGTAGCTAAGAGCGAGTAGGGGGAAGGCTCGATCCTTTGAAATCCCATTTTCTTCGAGGGTTTCCCAATAGTTCGAGCCACGACTGTAATTGTCGTAGGGGGAAAGTACAGTGGCGGCTGAAAGCATTGGTAAGCTCTACATATCATTTTCATTAAAATTACATTTTAAAAGTTAGTACAGCGGGTCTTTTAGTCTTAAAATACCAGATTTTCTCCTAAATGTCAAGCCTTCCCTCCACTGCTCAAGCTCTAGGCGGTTTGTCAGGGGGGTCACTACAATATCCTCGTAAATAAATAATTTGGCTCTTACACACTAAGGACTCGCACTAAACATAGGCAAACATACTAAATATATCGTACATAAAAGGGAGGGGGGTGTTTAAAAAAAAAAAGTATACATATAAGTGGGCATATTACATACGAGTAGATGATTAATTATAGTACAGTTCGGTTAATTATAATTTTAATAATAATAATAACAATAGGCAACAACACAGAGCAGAGAACTGATGTCTGTATGTATGTGTTTGTGTGTGTTTGTGTTTCTCAGTTACAGTTTACAGCTACAGTGTTGCATCAATTGGGATGAGTCTGTGTGCATGGGTGTCTGTATTTTGTGGACGCCACTGTGTGCCTATCAGCTATCAGTTCCAATATGGATGCTGTCCATTGTGTCCCCTCAGTGTTCGGAGACACAGAGAGCGAATGAGAG